GGATGACCAGGTGTCGAGCTGCCTGTGAGGTGCCGAGCTGACCAGGTGCCGAGCTGCCTGTGATGTGCCGGGCTGACCAGGTGCCGAGCTGCTTGTGAGGTGCCGAGCTGCCTGTGAGGTGCCGAGCTGCCTGTGAGGTGTCGGGTTGACCAGGTGCCTAGTTGCCTATGAGGTGTCGGGCTGCCTAGGTGCCGAGCTGGATTGATGAGCTTCGTTGCTCTTTAGAGACCTGCAAGGAACCAAATGTCAGAGGACCCAGGGTGGCTAACCCAACGAGGTCACTTCGATGCTTAAGTCAATACTCTCATAGTAGACTGTGAGCTAAAAATCACAAAGTATGAGAGCTAGAATTTGCTTATTTGCTTACTTCATTGGGGTTGGTGCCTTTATATAGGCATTGTTTGGCGTGGGATTCATGCACCATATCCGAGATTTTTGCGAGGTCATCTAAGTGGTTCCAGATTCCTGGAGGTAACCGCCATGCACGTTGACCACCCTCCGAATCGTTCGGCACATGGGCCAACTTCCAAGGATCGTGGGAGTGTTTGGATATGCATGCCGAATTTGTCGCTGAGAACGTCTCGCAGGTCGCCAGGTCGGCGCCTGGGCCAGGCCGCCAGGTCACGCCAGGGCCAGGTCGCGCCTGTGCCAGGCTACTAGTTCGTGCCAGGGCCAGGTCGCGCCTGTGCCAGGCCGCCAGGTGGGACACCATCAACTTGGCCGTGTGTCACCTATTTGCTCTGAGGTGTCATGTGTCACAATATCATTGGAGGGCCAAATCTGCCCTCATCATTTGCCCCACTCCCAAGCTAAAAGTAACTCGGCGAAGGGAGTAGATTGCTCCTTTTGGCCTGAAATGACTAATTCGATGAGCTCGTAAGCGTCGATCCAATTCCTTAGGCTCTGGGAGCAACTCGCAGTCCACTCTCCTTACCCTTGTTTTTGCCCAAGCCGAAGAGGCGACTGGGTCTTATGTGTCCATGCCGAGGAGGCGACTGGGACTTATTTGGTGCCGAGGTCTTTTATCTGTTTGGCGCTTTAGCCCTTAGGCTCTGGGAGCGACTCGCAGTTCACTCTCCTTGATCTTTGATTTTGCCCATGCCGAAGAGGCGACTGGGTCTTATGTGGAGCTGAAGTCTTTTACCAGCTCGCCAGGGCCAGGTCGTGCTAGGGCTAGGCCACCAGGTCATGCCTGTGCCAGGCCGCTAGGTCGCGCCTTAGAGCTACGGCTGCGCTGCATCAGCCTTGTTAGTGACATCGGTTACCCACTCCTACAAGAAGCTATTAGGAGATCGACCTACGGGGGCAACACTACTGACTTTAGGTCACCAGCTCGAATGGGAGCCTTGGAAGGCTCGACTGGCAGAGGCGTCCATGCAGTCTATTGGCCACCTACTCCCGCGGAAGCCATGAAGGGCTCATCTTTGTAGAGGGTACCTCGCGAAGAGGACTGATGAGGCTTTATCCGAGTTGAAATAAAGTTGATAGAGATGCTTAGTCTGTTGGCCATCAACTTCCTGCATAGTCTTTGAGTTCATAAAAAATGGAAACTAGAAAGTGAGAGCTTTTAGTTTCTAAAAGGTGAGAACTTAGCTTTCTAGAAGAAGAGGACTTAGCCTTTCGGAGGATGAGAACTTAGCTTTTTGTAGTGTTTCCCACAGACGATGCCAATTGATGAATCAATTGTTTGTGCTAAGTGCATCGTCATTTGGTCTGCTTCCAAGTGACCGATGACTCAGGCTGAAGTGGTGAACTTTGGCTGCTGAGCTGAGTCGAGCTGGGCAGGCTAGGTGGCAAGCTGACTATAGTGTCGAGCTGCCTGTGAGGTGCCGAGCTGCCTATGAGGTGCCGAGCTGACCAGGTGCCGAGCTGACCAGGTGCCGAGCTGCCTATGAGGTGCCAAGCTGCCTGTGAGGTGCCGGGCTGACCAGGTGCCAAGCTGCCTGTGAGGTGTCGAGCTGCCTATGAGGTGTCGGGCTGACCAGGTGCCGAGCTGCTTGTGAGGTGCCAAACTGCTAGTGAGGTGTCGGGCTGACTAGGTGCCGAGCTGCCTGTGAGGTGCCAAGCTGCCTATGAGGTTCCGGGCTACCTAGGTGCCGAGCTGGATTGATGAACTTCGTTGCTCTTTAGAGACCTGCAAGGAACCAAATGTCAGAGGACCCGGGGTGGCTAACCCGGCGATGTCGCTCCGATGCTTAAGTCAGTACTCTCATAGTAGACTGCGAGCTAAAAATCACAAAGTATGAGAGCTAGAATTTGCTTACTTGCTTACTTCATTGGGGTTGGTGCCTTTATATAGGCATTATTTGGCGTGGGCTTCACGCACCATATCCGAGATTTCTGCGAGGTCGTCTAAGTGGTTCGAGATTCCTGGAGGTAACTGCCATGCACGTTGACCACCCTCTGGATCATTCGGCACGTGGGCCAACTTCCAAGGATCGTGGGAGTGTTTGGATATGCATGCCGAATTTATCGTCGAGCATGTCTCGTAGGTCGCCAAGTCGGCGTCTGTGCCAGGCCGCCAGGTCGCACTTGTGCCAGGCTGCCAGTTCGCGCCAGGGCCAGGTCGCGCCTGTGCCAGGTTGCCAGGTCGCGCCTGGGCCAGGTCGCTAGGTCAGGCCTGTGCCAGGTCGCACATGTGCCTAGCCGCCAAGTGGGACACCATCAACTTGGCTAAGGCAAGTTGTTGCCAAAGTGGTTCTGGGTGTCACCTATTTGCCCCGAGGTGCCATGTGTCACAATATCATTGGAGGGCCAAATCCGCCCTCATCATATATAAATGTATTTATGAAAATATATACATATATTTATGTATGTATGTAAATATGTACGTAAAATATCTAGATGTATATATGTATATGTATGCAACATTTACATATATACATATGTATGTATAAATGTATATAATTGGTCCAGGCTTAGGCCGAGTTCGGGCTACCTAAGGGCTAGGCCCAAGCCCAACCCAAAAAATTAAAAAGCGTGACTGTAGTGTGGATGAGAAATTGCACCCGATCCCAACTTGTGTAAAATTATAGGTTGGGCCGATTCGGGCTCGAGTTGGGCCCGCCGAAGTTGCACCCCTACTTGTACCTTTCTTCTAGTTTCTTGGAGGATTTAAGGGGGTATTCTGTAGTGTGGATGAGAAATTGGTGGGTGTAGACTGGTCCACACCACATCACAATTCACAGGTGTTCTAAATGGTGGATAGACTATGTGGACTGGACCGGTTTTGATTCATTGTATCTCATATACATTTTATGAATGATCTATATAGTGGATCATAAATGTTCAATTTTTGTATTTTATATGATAAATATATTGAAAAAAGGCATCAAAAAATTAATATTAACCAATAAATATTAATTTTAATAAAAACAATAGTAAAATAATTAAAAAACAAAAAAAAAATTAAGTATTAAAAAATATTTTCTTGATAAAAACATTAAAAAATAATATTTAAATAAATAAAAAAAGAGTGGAGAAGGAGTAGTACTGACGGGCATGTGTTAGATTTAAAATTAAAAAATATTATTTTATTGATAAAATATTAAAAAATTAAAATTAATAATATTATCATTTTAAATATAAAAATTAAAAAACAAAGAGAAAAGTATGTAGAAGAGATGTATTGTATCAAAATAGAGTGTGGAAATATTGTGGACCGGCCACATCCATAAGATATAAGTGTGGCCGAGATTTTGGGCTATGGACGGGAACAATCCACGATATAGTGTGGACTGGTCCCATCCACGACCAACCGAATGGGGAGTTCATCCTATGGCATGGACCGAAATGGTCCATCCACGAAATGAACATGTTACTGAACGCCACCTAAATCTCCCCTACCTAAACCTATAATGTGGGTTGGGTCGACATGGCCCGACTGCTACAATACTGTGCTATCTTGGGCCTAGGATGTGAAGTAGACTGGTCCAGTCAGGAAGTCTAGCCTGGCCCGACCCATTGGCATGGCACGGCCTAGCATGCGGGTTGGCACAACATGGCATGCGTGCGGCCCACGACAGAGTATAGTCATTGGAGGGGTTGCAACGGCTATATTTGCTTTTTGGGGATTTTATACCCCAAGAACTATAAACCGCCACTAGGGATATTTTTATATTTTGGAGCACATGGGGCTAAAATGACTTAAATGCCCCTAATAATTATAGAATAGGGGTATTTAAGTCAAATAACATATAACCCCTAAAA